CCCCAAAACCCCAAAACCCCAAAACCCCATTTGTACAGATTATGATGATGCAAGATGGTATAATAATCTTCATTTTATTAAAGTACTTATTAAAATCACACAAAATATTAGTCCTATCTACTTCAAAGGTCTCTCTAAGGTTTTGATTGCCCTATTGAGTTTTCACTTCAATGGAATGATATTTCTGATATTTATTAATCCCTTACTCCTCTAGGTATATTTTTTTACCCTGAGTGGCTTCTTTCTCTGCTATAGTAGTATCTGTTTTCCTCAGAATCTCGATTTCGGGTGTTACCAGCACATTGAGATTTATTGAGGAACTTTTCTAGTTAAGTTTGACTCTTAGCCCCATTATTCCCATTTCTCATCCTATTGCCTTCTCCTCCCGCACATCTCTAATCCATTCCAATGTTGAATTAAATAACTTTCTAGCCAGAAGTAAAGACCTAAGAATTTTCATTGGTGTCTGGGAAAACGTAGCAAGGAGTGCTTGATTCGAAATTAGACTGTAGATGATTGCGCGAAATGGATTTCCTACGAGAGCCTGTCATATCATTCGAAAGTGATCTGGAATTTTCTCTAGATCTGCTAGCTAGCTTCTAGGGTGTCAAAATCCAATCAATTTAGCCTTGGTAGTCCATCTACATCTTGGCTTAGGAGGATCTCCCTCTTGAACCCATTTAAGATTTGTCAAGATTGCCTGAAACGTTGCTACTGCCTATAAGCATTGGCCCTGAGTCATCTGGAACTAGTCCATTGTTTAGCTAGCTTATATTCTTAATGTCTCTATCATTTTTCTTAACAGCATTGGTTGACAAATACTTGCTGAGCTCATTTTTAGAGTAAGTGAATTTGAACTCAGTGCTATTCTTGGGGTTTCCATTTATTTTCTTAGTCTATCCAGTGATATTAACTTGCTGATTGATAAGTGCTCCAGGGTTGGTTTCGCATTTACTCAAGCTTTTCTCTCGCTCTCTTTCATTTCTGATGAGCAGAATATTAGCTTTAGGGTCAAGTCTGTCAGGATTGATTGTGCGGACTGAGATATACTGCTCCATGCTTCTTTAATGACAGTAGTTCTTTGAACTTCTTGTAATGGAGTTACTTGAAGTCTTTTCCATTAACCTGTTCCATAGATTTCCTGGTTGCGAACTTTATTGTTCTTTTTTACATGAGTTTTAAAGGGATTATAAGGCACTTGTGCTTAGTCCAGAATTTTAACTCTCATCAGCTACATTTTTCCTTGATTGCCTGTTTACCTTATAATACTACTCATTTGTAGTATCAGCTCCGCTAAAATATTTCCCCAAAAGCTTTATATCAGTTTGATTAGCCGAGGGTTTGGATTCACCGCAGGCAGACCACCTTCTCTAAATAAATCCGCATCCACTCATGGAGATGCCATCACTAATAATGCTTGATTTCTTTTCATGTGGCTTATTTTCCTTACCCACAGAGGACTTAAGACCTATCTTGTTCTTTTCAATTGATTCTTAGATCATTCTTTCCCATACACTTTAGTTGCTTTCTATCGCAATCCCGATTGGCTAATATTTACATCCCAAACTCACATCAAGCTGACTAGAGTTTAAACTACACTTGCTTTTTTTACTATTAAGATAGAAGGAGGTAACTGGCGGAGCATTTGGTTAAAGCATTCGATTAGACATCCTGTTGCTCTGAATTGAAGTCGTGTACTGAGTGGAATTAGACAACTTGTTCTTGGAATGTGCTCGTTTTAAAGATGTCATTTTATTTTATAGTTGTACAAATAAATTTTAAAGAGGGCATCAAACGAATATATTGAACTAGCCTTTTTTATATTTCACAAAAAGTTATTAAAATAGCAATAAGAGTCACATGGGGTTTTGGGGTTTTGGGGTTTTGGGG